GCTTGATGTTTAAGTTCAGTGTTTCCTTGAATTCCCCCGGACGACTCTGGAACACTTCCTCAGCCTGGATGCCAAAAGGGGCTCTTCCCTTAAATCCTTATATGCAAGAGTGTACACCCCCAATAACGTACATTCAATTTCTCCTCCATTCAATTTTATCCTGCATTAACAATATTCATTAATAATGATAATGATAGCAATAGCTCAAAAGGTGCTTTCCAGCCTGAAAACCCTTATTGGGCAGGCCAGCAAAACCAGTAGCCCGCCAAGCTGAACACACCTCAGCAGGGGCTGGTTTTGCCTCCTGCAGGATAAACAACTGTGGGAGTCCTCCAGACTCGATGGCTTTTTGTCTGTTTTTAAGGGGGATTCTGCAACATGCCATTGATAGAGCTGATCGTGATAGGGGCATGATAGAAATCTATAAAAGCTATGCATGATGCAGAGAAAGTGGACAGAGAGACTTTTTCTCCATCTCACATCATACTAGAACTGCAACCATCTAATGAAACTGAATGCTGGAAGATACAAGACAGGCAAAGGAAAGAACTTCAGACAGTGCAAGGCCCCTCCAGACCCTTCTCTGCAGGTGTGACCCTTCTCTGCAGGTGTCATTGATACAAAAATAGTGCATTGGTGATGGATTTATATTGGGCTGCCCACACATTATTCCACTTCATTAGTTCTTCTGTGATGCTTACCCAATATGACTGTGTTATTGCCATCTGGAGGGGCACGTTTGCACTCAGGGGTGCCAACATGAATAAAATGTTGGGAGACCCACGTAAGCCTCACCCTGCATAATTGATCACATGGCACTGTGCATGCACACTATTTGAATGGCAATGCCCATCAACTATGGGGGGCGCACGCACGAAGGAACCTTGGCCCCTAGGAGCTGGCTCCTATTCTTGCACTAAGGTGCAGCCAAAGCAGAACAGCAAACAACCTGAACTATTAACAGCATTTCAGTTGGAAGTTGTAAGACATGTGTCAAATGAAAACAAAGCAATGTGTCCATCCCAAAACCTTTGCAAGGGCAGAAAATAATGAAATCAGGGTTGCATGTAAGCTCCTGCGTACCATCATGAGCACAAATAATCATGAATCCACAATCAGAAGGATATCTGGAAGATCCCAGAAACTTCCAGTGCAAGGGAGATTATCAAACACCTGGTAGGCCATAATACTTGGTAGAGATGGTCAGCATTCAGCATAGTAAGGCCTCAATCTCAAACATATTGGTTGCAGGGGTTTTAACTGTTGGCTGCTCTGAGCACTTTCGGATGGACAGCATATACATTTTATTTTATTTTTTAAGTTGCACATCCCGAATGAAGCCTACTGCTCTCCCTAGGAATGGCGGCTTCTGCTCAGCTCCAGCTTCAGCACTAAACCAGAAAGATGAACTGCTAACCAAAAGAGAGAGAGGCAACTTTCACCCTGCCTTCATGTGCAGGATGAACAATTCTTCTTTCTGATTTGGGCTCATCCCCTTTGTTAATGGGGACTGCCAGGCTCACAACAGTCACCATTCATTGTAGCCTCAACACACATGTGTAATGCAAGAGGCATGTTATATGCATTTCTAGACATTTTTCAAAATCTATGTGCACATGGTTAGCAGGTCATTTTCTTGAAATTGGGAGGAGGGTATGCTGCCAGGTTCTCAAATTTCATTGAGTCTCCCATTCCTAGTTTATTCTTTACAGAAACCGCTCTTCACTCAAAACACTCCTACCATGCAAATCTAGCCTCTTGCAAAGAACCCCCAGAATGCAGTTTGGCATGAGTGCTAAGAATCCTCTGATAAGAGAACTCCCCTTAGCTCCCTTCATAGGATTTATAGCTCACATGGTTCCTAGGAAGAGGAAATGACTACTAAACCAGCTATAAGTCTCTGGTGCAGGTGTCTGTCCACAGAGGATCATGCTGAGCTCTTTTGGGAGATCTCCCCAGACTGGGGTCAGCTAGTACTAACCTCCTTCCATCCCTCAATGTTCTCCTAATTACCAGAAGCTATCAGTTGCCAAGGGGAGCTGAATGCAGAAATATGACCTTGGAGAAGGGAAAGGATCAGTTCTTCACACAGTACCATATAAATTTGCAGGGGTGTTTCCTGGTAACAGCACAGTGGGAACAAGGACTTGCCTTAGCTGATGGGGGACGACGACTAATTCCTGCCTTCTAAAATATACCCTTTAATCTAAAACTTTCCACTGCAATTAACCTCTCACTTCAGAGAGCAATTAGAAGAACAGTCCTTCTGGCTAGAAGGTCTCCCAACCCTCCCACAATGGGAACACATCAAAATCAGAAGAACAACTAGACTTTGAAGGGCTGCAAAGAAGCCATTAAGACCATAATCTGGTCTTTTGAGGGTGGCAGGAATAGAGAAGACATTTTTAAAAAACTACCCAGAAATGGGAAAAGTGATCCATCCTTAGGCAACCAATGGATATACCGAAGAAAGACTCCTAAGCAGGTAGAATCTTTTGATCACCAACTGATGGAGGTATTTTTGTTGTGAACTTCATTATTCCACACACACACACCCCAAATTAAAAGCCTAAACTCTGCACCAAGAGAACTGGAACATTAATTGTACATTAATATAATAGAAAATAGATGCATGCTGACATAAATTAATCTGTCAAACATGATACTGAGCTGTGTGCCAGTTTTCACAGTTTCCACAGTAATGCCTGTACCAGCCTTTCCCAACCTGGTGCTCTCCAGATATCTTGGACTGCAATGCCCATCAATCTTAACAACCAGGCTGATGGGAGTTTGAGAGTCCACACTACCTGGAGAGCACCATGTTGGGAGAGGTTGATTAGAGGAAGATGCTCTCCAGGGACTCGGGCAGAAGTCTTCCCCAATCATTTGATACCTGAACCTACTGGCTGGAAATGTCAGGGATTGAAACTGCGACTTCTACTGCTACGCTATGTCCCCTTCCTTAAAGGAACAGAAGGACAATGGGAGTAGAATGGAACTGGAGACCATGACAGAAATCAGAGAGACAGGCAAGAGACTCTGCCTCTCGTACAATGGAGCTTTCCGTTGAAGTACACTGGACAATGTGAAACTTATCTTCACAACCATGAGGGATAGCAACTTGCTTTTTAAAAATAGAAAGAGACAGGCGCATGCACAACTGAGATTCTCAGGTCAAAATCCACAACAGGTATCAAATAATCACGCAGAACACATACCAGTTTCTATTAAAACTTCCACAACACCATATAGCTGTGTCCCACCATTCACATCCATATGGAATGGTGTCTGAATTTTCTGAAAACAGTAACAACAGTCGCCCCATCTTTACTTTCTATTACAGTGGTACCTCAGGTTACATACGCTTCAGGTTACATACACTTCAGGTTACAGACTCTGCTAACCGAGAAATAGTACCTTGGGTTAAGAACTTTGCTTCAGGATGAGAACAGAAATCGTGCTCCGGCGGCGCGGCAGCAGCAGGAGGCCCCATTAGCTAAAGTGGTGCTTCAGGTTAAGTACAGTTTCAGGTTAAGAACGGACCTCCGGAACGAATTAAGTACTTAACCCGAGGTACCACTGTATATTTTTATATTCTTGTTGCCTGTTAGATTTTGTTGGATGCTGTTATCTCTTGCCTGGTAGGAAAGGGCAAAAAGAGGTAACCAGCTCCCCATACACTGTCAAACACAATTGCCAGTATCTCTACTTAACCATCTTTTATAGAACTCTAAGAATCCATTCCACACACACACAGGTACGTGCACACACCACACCTGCCTCCCATCCAATACTCATGAAGCAACCTGTAAAATCAGCAGAGTTCTTGTTCAGCACAGTGAGCAAGAGAACCATTTGCTGCAGAGGTTGATTACGCTCCTGCTCTGCACTTACTGCTTCTGCTTTGGTGGGGTCCAATTCGTTGTGCCGTAGAGGATGCAGAGATACCACCACCCCTTTCAGAGTTAGCCGAGCACCTCCTAGGTAATCCCTAAATCACAACCATTCATTACAACAAGGCTTTGGCACATAACATGTAATGGGGGCAGGGGAAGAAAATATACAGGAAGCAGAATGTTCTTGCATTTGAAAATTCGTCAACAGCTAGCCCCGGGATTTTGCTTCTTGAATGGCTTCACAACCTGTACCACTACAGCGGTAGTTCCAAGCCATTCTCAGGACTGAGATCCACCCTAAATGTTACCCCCTTCAGCATCTGGCTTGTTGACCACATAGTGGAAAAACCCACTGGAGAAAGCGTCCTTACCAGCCTCCGCAGACACCCAATAGTGATAATATCATTTTTGTCACATTCCACCATAAGGGAGATATTGAGGTTGTGAATCCCATCTCTCTCTCTCACACACACACACTGTTTGAGGAGCTGCTGCAGCAGCAGCACATACCTGGGCTCACCCCTCCTCACCTAAGTGAACTGCTCCATTTTTGAGTACATACTCATTGGCTGCCATCACCTACCCATCACCGTGGCAACAAAGCTAAGCAGTCCAGAATCTCCTTCCCAGAGAAATTCCACGTTTCTCTCAAAGGGTACACCCACCAGTGGTCTTGAGGGCCCATTCAGCCCAGACATATATCTTTGGAGTGAAATCTACAGAGGCGACTCTACAGAGCAAGGATGGGGAACCTGATGCCCTCTAGGTGCTGTTTGACTCCAGGACCCCATCAGCCGGCCCGGCACACCCAATGGGCCAAGGATGATGGAGGTAGAGCCTGGCAACATCTAGAGGGCCACATGTTCCTCAGCCTTGCTATAGAAGAAGTTGAGCAGAGGCCCACAGATCTGTGGCTGCTCCATGCCAATTTTTCATTCCGGAGCTCCTTGCTGGAAAGAAACCAGCCTAGCATTCCCATCGTCACATGCCAAGGCAAATTTATTGGTGCCAACATCTTCCAAGCCAGTAATGAAACACCTTCGGTCCTCAAGCCCATCTCCCATGTTCCACAGTCAAACCTCCACCCTCACCCATCCCTTCCATTCAGAGAGAGGCTGGGCCTCTTAGGCCACTGTACTTACTGGGCAATTCACCCTTGGCCAGTTCAACGCTGAGCAGCTCCTTATGGCTAAGGCTCCAGCCAGGTCCAGGGTGGGTGGGAGTGGATGCCGGGCTCTTGGTGAAGATGCCGCTGATGAACTTGAGCATTTTACGGTCCCGGGTAGAGGCCCGACCACCCTCCCGGCCTCTCTTCAGCCCCACAGCTGCCTCTGAGGAGCAGGAGCCAGAAGAGGCCAGACTGCCCGGGCCATGGTTGAGGTCACTGTTGTCCAGAGTCTTGCTTTTGTTCTTGTGAGGGGATAGTTTTGCCCGGGATCCCCCTCTAGGGACCGTCTCCCCACTGCCCTTGACAGCTACCTTCATGCGTCCCTTGACTTCGCTCTCGGGCCACGACAGGCGGTTGGGGGTGGCCCCCTTGTGGCCCCCTTTGCCAGCCTTTGGCTCGGCACTCACCTTGGCCCCGCTGGTGGTCACTGTCTTGAAAGGCTTATTGGTGGCCAGGCGAAGGCGGCGGTTCCCAGCGGCTGGGTGAGGAGAGGAGGCTCCCGAGTGTGAGAAAGAAGAGCCACCCACCCGGCCCACACTCATTTCCAGGGTCCCAGGCTCTGGGCCACCCCAGCTGGCATGGCTCACCAACATTCGGCGCCCTGGCGCTGCGGCACTGGAGGAGCAACTGGCAGTGGTGGGCGTTGGAACTGGCGACTCGTCCCCAGGCACCCCCAAGGTCTCCTTCAGCCCAGCCTTGGGGGGGATTGGAATCACCTCTGGCTTGGGGGGAATGGGGGGAACGACAGGGACCAAAATGGCTTTGGGTTTCGGAGCCACAGCTGGAGCCGCAGAAACCACAGTTACTTCAGGCTTGGCAGTTGCAGCTGGAGGAATGGCAGCCTCAACCTTAGGAGCGGTGGGCGAAAAGAGAACAGCTGGAGGCAGCTCAGGTTTGGGGGGGACAGTCGGGGCTATAGAAGGAACAGCCGGCTCAGGTTTGGGAGCCAGAGGTGGGGCGACAGAGGGCACAACCAGTTCAGGTTTGGGGGCCAAAGGCGGGGCTACAAAGGGCACAGCTGGTTCAGATTTGGAGATCGCAGCTGTCGCCGGCTTGGGGGGCAGTGCCAGCTCAGGTTTGGGGGGCACCGCCGGAGCACCCAAAGACACCAGCCCTTCGGGCTTTGGCGCAAGGGGTCTTCCTTCTGGGCTCATGGCGGCTTTGGCCTTGGGGTCCCACGGGCTTCCTCGGCCGGCGGTGCCCCTGGGCGGTGTCCACACGGAGCCCGGCCGCCCTGTGCCATCTGGGGACGGGGACGAGCTGGGCGTCCCGGGGCTGCTGGGCGAGAGCTGCAGCAGGTAGTCGGACGTGCTGGCGCTGCTGGTGCTGATCCAGAGCGCATCCTGCCGGTGGAAGATGCGCTCCTGCCTCTTGAGCTTGGCGGCCGCCGCTTCCTCGGCTTCCTTGCGGTCCTTCAGCCCGGAGGGATCCGCCGCGCAGGGCGACGAGACTCGCGCGGGGCCGCCGTCCCTGCCGTCGGGCACGACGCCCCCATCGCCGGCGCCCGCCTTGTCGTCGCCTTCTTGCTGCTGCACCGACTCGAGCTTGACCAGGGTCAGCGAGATCAGGTAGGTGGTCCGGCGCTGCAGGGTCGCTCCTCTGCTCATGAGTCTCTGCGGGAACCGCCGGCGGCGGCCACGCCGCTAACCAACATGGGCCACACGCTCCTGCTGCTGCTGCCGCCGCCGCCGCCCCCTTTGGATGGCACCGGTTGCCCGCCGCCGCCGCGGACCCCTAGCGCCCCCGCGCACAAAGGGCAGCTCGACTGGGCATCTCCCAAGCACGGCGATCCCGGGGAGCCCTTACCTGCTCCTCCGCAGCGCAGCGGCGGGCGGACAGGCGCGCATCTTCCGCCCGAGGAGGAGGAAGAAGAAGGGGCGGCGGAGGTGGGCCACCGGGGGGCTGGTCCTGGGTCGCTCACCGGAGGCGATCGCCCAAGCCGAGGCGGGGTGCGCGCTTCTCGCGAGCAGGCTGCGCAAGGCAGGGCGGCACGAGGAGACGGGTGGCTGTTCCCATGCAGACGAGCCGGAGCGCGGGCGGGTTCAGAGGCGGGCGGGGGGCGCGAATCGGCGAGCGGATCCCCCTTCGCGGTCTTGCCGCAACCTCGGCCGCCCCTCGGCGCGGACCTCACGGCTCGGGCAAGGCGCCAGCAGCTCTGCTGCTCCCCCGCCGGGTCTTGGCGCTCGCAGCCCGCCTCCAAGGGCGCATCTCCGCCTTCCCGCCGCTGCCACCGGGTCCTGGCTGGAAATCCGCGCTCGCGTACCAGGAGGCCGCCTCTTCCCGCTCCCCCACCCGCTCCGCTGCGCCAATGCCCTCCTCCGAGCCTTCCTCCTTCTTCTTCGCCGCTGCCACCCCCCCTCCGCCGCCGCCGCCGCCTTCCTTCTGGCTTCTACTTTCTAATGCCTCTTTGGCGAGGTTATGGGCGCGCGTTTGGCGAGGTGCTCTTGCGCCTGCCTGGGCGACAGCAGCGGCTGGTGGCGAGCCGGAATGCGGAGATCAAGGTGCTGGTGGGCGGGTGGGATCGTGGAAATCAAAAAAGCAGAGCTATGGCAGCGGCGGCGGCGGCGACGCCAAACCCCTTGGCCGACGGTTTCCGAAGGAGGGGGAAAGAGGAAGAAGCTACGGCCATTTGCTGTAGCCTACGGAGTTATAGGTGGGGGGAGAATGAGAGAGGGGAGAATTAAAACGGGGTGGGGAAGGCAGATCCTGAGAATTCTCACATTGGGAATGCACAAGGCAAGAAGTGAAGGATTTCTGCAGGGGCACGTGGAAATCCCGGACTGGATCGCATGGAATCTGGCCCCGCGCACGCGCGCGCACAAGACCTGAGAGATTGCCTGGCTCAGGGATTCATTAGGCACCCTTCCGGCGCTGGCGCAAGGGGCGGGGGGGACAGCCGCCGCCGCCACCCGCAGATGTTACATGTCGTGGGACTAAAATTAGCCCGCGCTGATTGGCTTCCTTAGTCTGCCCCAACGGACAAGGTCATCTGGCGACCCAGCTGGGAAGGCGCAACATCTGGAGGCTTAGGGGGATGATGCGGCTAATGTGCTCAAATCCCCACCTGCTGTGGCATAAGCATCCAGGTAATTCGAGAAGGGAAACGATGTTAAGGTGAGGCTGCAGGTGGAGTTACAGGTGGCTGCAATTGTCTTAACAAGCCTGCCTTTCTGGCCCGGCCACCACCCACCCGCACCTCCATCAAGTGCTCCTCCCATTCATTTCCACAGAGGACATGCCTATGACTTAATCAAGCAGGAGTAACTGCTGCACCGGTTTCGGTCATATGTTTCTGGGTAGTTGTTGTTTATTAAAAAAGCACATCAATTATTATTATTAGATTTACATTTGTTAAGTGTGCATGTGTGTGTATATGTATGTGTGTGTAGTCTCAAAGCAACTTAACAAAATACAGATAAAAAGAAAAAAATGGCAAAATATGTAAATACAAAATTCTTTAAAACGCTCATCCAACAGCACAATAAGAAGGACAAGTCCTATCCCACCCCACTAAAGCATATGCACCACAGCAGAGGCTGATTTAACTATTAAAAGCCTGGGTAAATAGCAATGTCTTTAGTCTGGTGCCTAAAAAACAGACCATGATGGCACCAGGCACATTTCCCTAGGGAAAACATTCCACAAATTGGGGTGGGGGCACCACCGAGAAGGACAGTTCTCATGTGGCCACCCTTCCCATCTTCCTCAGATGAGATACAAGGAGAAGGGCTTTGATGAAGGTGGTTCATATGTTTAACCCCAAGGTTAGGAATGGCACAGAGCACAGAGAATCTCTGCCCAGTAAGTATGAAATCAAAGATGGGTGGCAATCTGTGACCCTCCAGGTATTGTGCAGCTAAAGCTCCCATCATCCCAAGATGATGAGCCACTGGTGTTGCCCATCAGATCTAAGGGCTGCTTGTTATTCATGTCCATTGGATGATGAAACTATGGCACTGGGTTATTTTTAGCATGGCAGCCAGCTTTGTGAATGTGCTGGCAAATCTTTTTAACATGTAGCAAGATCACAGCTCCCTATGTTCTAAAAGTGTGTTGAAATGCTATTTGACCTAGAACATATTTGAGACATAATCTCAACACGCATGGGGGAAGTTGCAAAACTGACCACTTTTGCCAAAATTGGCATGAGCATCATCGTGCCCGAACAGGTCAAGTGAATTAGTGTGGTACAGTACAGGGGAAAACGTGAAGGCAGAATCAAACTGTGCTTGGCAGTGGAGATGAAGGAGCTCAGGTTATGTGACAGCAAGTACTGCAGACCTGGTAATTCTATGGCAATTGTAGAAAGTGTTTGCTGGGGAAAAATATTATTTCAAGGGGGAGGGGCAAGAATTGCCTTGACTAAATGCTGCACAGACAGAAGATCTGGAGTAATTTGCCACCTTCTAGTTTCATTCAATAACTAATGCCTCTTCACCCATTGTTTTTACGTGGGGTGGGGAATAAATAGGGGTATGTTGCGTCATAATTCCAGGTGTCAAAAAGCAGCCTGCTGTCAATACAAGGTGGCCAAAATTTGCTGGTGTTTCAATTGTAGGACATTGGCTCTTTGTGAACTATGCAGGCCTCCAGTCCATTTCCAGGCCCAGTTCAAAGTTATGTGGTTTTGTTCAAAGGCCTTCATGGCTTGGGACCAGGGGACCTTGAGGCTCTCTCCTCCCCTGCTAGACATCTGGTACAATGTGTCCTAAGTACACCCAGCTGTCTTCCCTGGCCATTTCTATGCTTTCAAAACAAGTACCAAGAAGGAATCCATCCATACCATTGCCTCTCTAAGAAAACATGTGTGCACCCCCCTCAAAGAGCTTCTCAATGTGCTGGTCCAGCCAGTATTCTGATGTTGCCAGCAAAGGACCAATTAATGCTAATTGCACCTAAATATCCCAACTGACGGCACCGTTGAAAATGATTCATATTCAGAAAGCAGCACATTCTGCACTGGCTGCTTCCTTTCCAAAGTGCTGAGGGAGCATTTCTAGCCAACTGTACTTACATCGCAGCACATAATCGCCACAGTTCTCTTACCTGGGTCACAAGCTGCCGTGCTGTGCTGCTATAGAAAGGTTTCACTGGCAGGCACCCACATGCAGGACCCGTGCTGCTTTTAAGAGCAGGTGTGCACAAGGAGTGGTAGAGACATGGTCATTCCGAGACCAAATTATCTCCCCTACGTGTGAAATTAATACCCAGACACAGAGAACTGGGCTCAGGTCTGCAAGGACGTATATCATATCTGCATGGACAGAAATCCACCCGTCAGTTTAGCAACAGCAGTGCACAATGCAGAAGAGATTCACACAATCTCCATTGTACCCCGAGGCAGTAGGTATGTATGAGTAACTAGGCTGTAGAGTTTGCACACAGACCAGTGGAATTGCATGCGAAATCTCTGTGTCAGCACTTGCACAGGGTCAGACATGTCCTCATCCCTAGGTTTTCTTCATCACATCCATATTAATAATTGTGTATTAATCTTTGTAACCATCTTGATTGTAAAACTTGTACGAGGGTTAAAAAGGTTATGCCATTCTGAACGGATTGTATTTTCCTTTGTTCCCAAATGCACATGGAAGATTCCCACCTATTCTGTGCCTTCTTTTTGAACTCAGTCTGAGCTTTCCTCTCAAAAGCATCCGATTTACAGCACATCCTAACCATTATTTATGAAATGTATATCCCACCACCCCTCCCAAAGGAACTCAGGGCAGGAAACACATGAGCAATAAAACAATACAATTAAAAACATCTTTAAAAATCCACCATTGAAACCATTAAAAACCATTCCTATTTAAATGCAGGATGGGATAAAGATATTGAAACGCTTGTTGAAATGTCCTACTGAATCCACTAGGGCATAAAAGGATAATCATAATCATAATAATCACAATAATTTCAGTTTCTTAGCCACCTTTTACTGTAAGGTTGCATGGAAGTTTGCAGCAATAAAAAACCCCACAATATTAAAAATTGTTTAAAACAAATTGCAGTCTCAGTGATCATGGTGACACTAATTATGTAATCAAGATTCCTAAATGTAATTTCCCTTTTCTGGGACAAGGTCAGGATCCAACCCTTATATAATGCCCATTGTTATTGAGACGGTCAAAAGGGTTTTGGAGATGGTTTCACTTCACCATTATGGGGATTCTTCCTATGATAAGGAAGGAGTCCTTACAGACGCCTGCAGGGTCATTGTCTTGGCTGACCACTATTATTGGATGCATCCAGCTTCCTCCTGCTAGGTGGCTGTACAGGTCTGTTTTTGCACTGTACAGTGCAAACTAAGAAGACTCAATTTTTAACCTCAAAGAATCCTAATTCCTTTTTTAATGTACAGAAGCTGGGTCCCCCAGAGTACTAATTGCTGAGAGGCAAACAAAGGGGGAGTGTTGCTGTCTTCCTGCCATAGATGTAAGTCTCCAGTGACTGACCATCACTGAAACTGTAACAGGGTACAAGTCAGTGTGATGTGTTTAAAACAGGTTATCATGTCATCGTCATCATCAATACTTCTTCTTAAAAACTCTACACGCTCATAGCAGCCCTGGGATACATGTCATTACTGTTATCGCCACAAGTGTAGTGC